GCCAGGGCTCCGTCACCCTCAGAGGGAAGAAGTTGTTCCTCATGTTCAGCTGGAGCTTCCTCTGCTTCAGTTTGTGCCCATTGCCCCTTGTCCTGTCGCTGGCCACCACTGAAAAGAGCTTGGCCCCATCCTCCTGACACCCACCCTGCAGATATTTGTAGGCATTTATAAGGTCCCCTCACAGCCTTCTCTTCTCCAGGCTGAACCAGCCCAGTTCCCTCAGCGCTAGCCTCTTCCACCGACTCTGCGGGGTCTGGAGAGGGACCTCTGTCAGCACCAACCCTCGAATGCTGTTGCTTCAGCTGGCCTTTGCTGAACGCTGGCGAGCGAGCAAGCCCCCCAGGAACACCACAGGTCAGCACCACCCGCACCCAGTGACGGAATGCCTCATGCACACGCAGCAGCTCTGTGATTCTGCCCCGAATCAGCTGTCTGTTACAATAAACACCACCTCCTTCCCTCACTCCGCTCTTCTTTCCACATTAGATGATAGGAAGAGAATTATCTGACACCCCCCACCTGCCCAAATCCTGAAGTCTTGTTCAAACAGAAACATGGATTACCTGGGCTGGTTCAGACACTAAGTCTAATTAACCAAACAAAGCTGAAATAAACGGAGGAGAAGTTGTTTATTTTCTAAATAAGTCTAAATTTATTCATTACCCTAGTAAAAAAAGTTTGGATTACAAGTGTCTGAACAGTATAAAAGTACAAAACAGGTTTCATAGATTTCTAATACATTAATACAAAGTGCATGACTACATACAGTTCATTTTGCATTACTACCAGGAATGGAAGAGGTGGGAGGGAGTAGGGGAAGCAGTTGGCGGTTGAAATCTAGCAATAAATAAATAAATACAGAAGAGATGATCCGTATCAGAGCACATCCTACCACCAATACTGCAGCCTTAGGTGTACAGAATTACTGATGCTGAAAACACAAATTCAAATGAAAGGAAGTGTCTGCAAAAACAGCCGGGACTCTTGCTCAAGCCATTATTAGACATGGCCAACCTAGTTAAGCCATTATACAAGCAAGTATCCATTATATCTACGGTTGGACTTGGTGATCTCAAAGGTCTTTTCCAACCTAAACAATTCTATGATTCTATTTGGATGCAGATGAAAGCAAGGTAGGCAGCTTTGTTCTCCCTGCAGAATCTCACAGAGTTTAGGAAAAGCAATGTAAGACCAATAAAAGCTCTAAACTGTAAGGCTTTGGTAAGTCAAAGCCCTGTTTCCCCTGATGTTCTTTCTCTCCAGAGGCTGGCTTATCCAACGGAAGGAAAGCAAAAATAAGAAAAAAAAAAAGCTTTAGGGGTAAAGGCTCCTCTTCAAACCTGCATATCTTTCCCTGCCTATGTTTTCCTTTGCTAAGTGTTCCCATTTCAGTAAGTGAGACTACATGGAAATCCAGTCCTAAGCCCTACCCACCACAGTATTATGCCAATGACTCTCACAAAAAGGAAAGCTTGTAGTAATCCATTGTAGAATATCCCAAAAGAGTAATAATAAGAAAAAATCCCCCCTCCCCCCGCAAACAGAAACAAATAATAAAAAAAAGCAGAATTCTCAACTAACACAAGTTAAACCTTCATAACAGAACATGAAGCAATTGGGAGCTAAAACTGCAGCACACTCTTCCAGGAAGCTGCTTCCACCCTGCAGGCAAAGTGGAGTTTGAAGGAGCGTCACAACGGTTTGCACAGGAGTTTGCCTGGGAACCCACGTAAGAAATACTCTCTTTTGATCGTGTATGCAAACAGAGCTGCCTTGACTCAGTACAGAACCATTCTTAATGTAACTGTTCATATTCAGTATTCACAAAAGCATTGATCTGGTGGTTGCTTAAACGAACAAACAAAAAACCAAAACCCAAACATAGAGAAGCACTGCAGGGGAAGGGTTCCGAAACAGCAATCATGAATCCAGACCCCAGGCTGCAATCAGATTAGGTCTCTGCACCAGAGCCTGATCTGCTTACCAAAGGGTTTGGTTCTGTGTCAGGTCCAAAACCAGCAGGAAGTCTGGTCTGTGGTCACATTTCAGCTGCACTGGGCCAACAGATCGCAGTTACTCAGTTTTGGCCATCATCTACACCTAACTTGGGCATCAAGATGTTTTCTTGGTCCATCTCTAATCACCAGTCAGTTACTACCTGAAGCCCAGGCTGTCTGCTGCTGGGTTAAAACAAAGTAGCCTCCCATTTTGCCATGTTCAATTCTTAGGTAAATCTTCCTCCTTAGCTCCTTCCCACCCCCTCTGAAGAGCACTTTACGTTGGGGGCCTTCTCGGATAACTACCACTTCTGGTAGAGACATCTACAGTTTACCAGTCTGTGTCACATAGGAGGGATGAAATATTTGTCTTTGTTATGTCAGTAGTATAGTGTGAGATCGCCACACCTTTAAAAATATATATACTTATATCTAGGGAGGTGACTTACAACATTTCTATGTATTAGTTCATCTCATTGACTCATACATGTCTAAGAATGAAATATTTTCTTGGGGATTTAAGGGAGGTTACCAACCAACGCAAAAAAATGCCTTACAACCACTGCTTCTTTCAGTACAGAAACATGAACTACATATACTTTTAATATACAAAACCCCATCTTCACATTCACTTGTGAAGCAAGGGGGGGGCGGGGGAAGATTAGACAACCTTGCAGCAGCATTCAGCTTTGCTAAGTGTTCCATAGCATCTTAAATATTATGTACAGTCTTTCTGAGAGGATACAAACCGGCTTCAGAGTTTGTGGAATTGTAGCAGTAAAACCCAAAACAGTTCTAGGGAATAGTCTTTTGGCAGCATAGCAGGTGTCCAAAGTGACAGTCACTTTTCTAGTATTTTTCCAGAGAAGAAGAGAATCTGTATAACCTTCTGCAGCTATCCAAGGAAGTCACCACTCCTCCTGGGTGGAGATTGCTGGAGATTGTGGTCCTTCTTGTTCTGGCTTTTCAGTGGCAGACTTTTTATTGCTACAGCAAGGTTTGAAGAGATGAGTGTCTATGAGGACTTCCCCAAAACGCCCTTTGTAAATAATTCCACAGCAGACCTTTTGCCTGGAAAAAATGGCAGGGAGAGAGACAGATAGCTTCTGTGTTTAGAATATACAGAATTTATAGAAATGCAAAAGAGCAGTTTGACCCAAGACACTACTTTTCTGGGCCTCTCTGAAGGAAAACGCTGCTTAGAAAGAGAAAACAAGTTTGTGTCTAACTCCACAACAGTGCTGGGGGCAGGGGAAGGAAAGAAGAAAAAACCTGCCAACCCCACGTCCACAGAAAATTAGATCTCCCATTCTGCCTCCCAGAGAAGTTTCAGATATGCATCTATCTGCGCTGAACTAACCTTGACTACAACGCTCTTGCAAACACTATTTGAGAGGAGGCAGCAAAATCACAACAATTTCAATAGAGCAATTAGCTAAACAAGGGATTACTGTGTCACAGCAGGCAATAAAAGATAACAAGCTTGCCAGCTCCCAGAAAATCTTGTGGTTTTCCTCCCACTCCAGATTTGGGTTTTTTTTTAAATGACTACCATCACAGGTCAACCAAATAAAATGCTATGTTTTGCTGGCAAAGCGAGAGCATTGTTGTACTTGGTAACACATCATGTTTAATATGGGTTAATTTAATTAACAACATAGCACAGTTTTAAAGACCAGATAATGACAGTCAGGAATATTATCTGTTACTCTCCAAAACATAAAAATATTTTCCAGCAACTCTATTAGTACTTGGAGAACTGGAGGGAGATAGGGGAAAATGTCTTCAACACATGGCATTTCTTTCCAAAGACATACAGACACTGTGTAATACCATATGACTTGAATTCTATCCTTAAAACCAATTAAGTTCAGCAGCAGCAAACTCCTGGAGAAGCAAAACCAAGCACTGTATAGATGAAGTGAACTGCTGTCTGCACAGAGTGCTCATTCTGTTGCTTTTTACCTTTTCCAATATGTGAGATCTAAAAAGGAAAAAACTGGTGTTCTGCTGGACCCAGCATTCATCTCTGTGTCAGAGCCATCGTCAGACTGGTTACTGTAACAGGGCGACTGAGCTGGGGAGGCACTCGAAGTGGTGCTGTGGGCATCAGAATCTGTCGGGGAAAGAATAAATGCAAGAATCAGGACACACATCCAACGACTTATCCTCTTCCTGACTTGTGAAAGGTCGCATGCAGACTGGGAACAGAGAGAGACTTTTTTTAATTGACAAAAAAAAAA